AGACTGACCATAGATTACAACACCTTTTACGGAGCATTGTGAAATATGCTGATAAAATTAATTATGGAGGAGTGGAAAGCGGGACGCGGTAATGCTGGCCTGATAACCCAGGGATTACGATGAGATGACAATTGTGACTTCATTAGGATGATGTCACGTGAGTTAATGGCCATGAGAGTCTGGTCTTAACGTGAGTGATTCTACATATGTGAAGCTGCTGTATTCTATGGGACACTTAATGACTGGTAGACATTGTGTAAGGAAAATAGTATGCAGGATAACAAGTCCTATTTGAAATGTGTTAATGGCCCTGGGAGATATATAGTATTCAATTAAATTATGAAATGAATGTACATTTAACTGAAAAAACAATTACCTTTTTGTTCCTGTTTGGCCCACAACAACAGTGTCTACTGCATTTATAAACAATATTCTAACTTCTTTAATAACTGCATCTAAATAACATGAATATAAAAGAAAACTTTAACTATTCATTGCCATGAGATATGTTAACTGGAAAATGGATTAATTAAATTCATTAAAGCATGATAAAAGAAAACATTACTCGACAAAAATGATAATTGTAATAGCAAGTTTATAAATTGCCATATTTGAGAAAGATAAATGACTTAGTTCAATTGTTACAGATGATGGCTTCTCATTGTTGGTTGTGTGGAGACTTATCAGCCTCAAGGAAAGATCTTAAATTACATTTAATGGGAAGACCACATCATATCTTCAAGGTGATATGCCCATTCTGTCACCCCCAAGAAAGAACTTGCAATAAGATCTCTGACTTGAAGAAACATATAGACAAGTATCATCCTGGTTTGACAACCACGGATACACTTAAGGGATGGTTTACAGAGGCCGCTGGTTTTTACCTGTCCGTCAATCCATATGATTACAGGCGCATTATTGATCCCATCAGTCCTGACGCACAAATTGCTAAAGCCATCAAGGAGTCCATTCGCACCTGGATACCTTCCATCACATGTCCATCACGTGTGTTATCTGATTGGGAGCAAGGTTGGGCTCAATCGATTGGTACTCCTCTAAGAGATGAGCTTCCAAACCAGTATTTACCATACTCGCCAACAAGGCCAGGAATGTCTAAGTATCCTGTCGAGCCTTATTCTCCGACCAGACCGGAAATCTTCACAGCCACTAAATTGAAAGTGAAAGTGTTGTCCAGATGTGTTCTGAAGCCCATATCATGTGTATTTGAAACCCAGACTGGAATGCAGTATGTCGCAGTACTAGCTAATAATGCATCTACTTTAACACAGCTTAACAATTTAAAGATCACAAGTGTAAATTGTTCTGATGAGGTTGACAGTTATCAGTACACTGTGCTTAGTGATGCCTTGGCAAACACACTACAAATATCTCAAACCCTGATTGATACAGTTTACAAAGTAACCAAAGACAGTTGTTCAATTAATGACTCTAATAACTCTCAAAGCCCCACCCATGCTTGTTTACCACCCAGTGACATACCAGATCTACCTGTCTCTACATCTTATACCCAAGAAACTCCAGAAAACAACCTAAGAGCCATAGCATCTGAGCTCTTGTTACATGGACTGTTTCCCTTAGGCATGCCAGCTAAAAGAGATTGGGAATCAGCACCATCAAGAGAGATAGTAAAAGGTTCATACCACGTTCAATGGCCACCAAAGAACTGGACTGCTATGGATGGTAGGAGGCGTTTCCAATTGTTTTTACATGCTGCCATGAACTTGGATGTTGATCAGGATGGAAACCCCATATCTACAATAGATCAGATAGTAACTAAGTATACGTTCCTGATGCTTCCTAGTACACCAGTACCACGAGAGTACCACCCAATCCGATTACAAGTTGAAACATTTTTAAAGCTGAAAGAAATAGTAAAAACTGGGAAAGATACTTACAAAATTTTGGACATGTATCAGCTAGCAGCAGCATCACGCTCAAAAGAACTAGACACTATCCTTAAACAAATTGCCGATGTTAAAATCCGCATCTGAAGAATCAACACCTAGGAATTAAATCAAATAATTAAGCATGACATAAAAACTACAATAAGACTGAGGACATTTACATTATCTGATTAAATAAACTTTTCATATAATATATATACATAAAGTAATAATAATTACAGAACAGCAGAAGTTTTAACTAACTGTGAAATAAATCATAAATATTTTGTGGTTTAGTACCTATTTCGGACAGTATAAAAAGTTCAGGGAATATCAGTCTTAAAGACTTAGGGAGGGGGTGTGTAAGGATCTGACATTCTAGCATTATTCTGAAATGTACTTACAACAGAACTTTTAATGAAATCCAAGTGACATTGTGAAATCCTATAGCTCCATAATTTGTTGACTTCTACAATAACAAGATTCACTTACCTGATTGATCTGAAGGAACACTGTATTAACACTTATTGACTTTGCAATTTAAGCTGATAAAATTGTTAAACTTACCTTTTATGTATAGCAGATAACTGATTTTCTCTTTACATTTTTGTGTAGCAGACGTCGAATGCCAGACATCTTTGAAATCTGTCACTTCATATTTTATATTGAAGATTTCTTATTGTTAATATCAATTTCAGTCAAATTCAATTCAAGAACCTAATTTATGTAAAGTTTATGATTGAATAAGGTCAGAAATCCTTAAATATTCACTTCATGTTTCTGTATATTAATGATTTTCGTATGTAGATTTTATATGAGATTTCAATATGGCCGCCATTGAAATCCAAGATTTCAGATTCAGAAATCCGGCCGTCTGTCCATTGGAGGATTTCCGGATTTCTGTTGTTTCATTGGTGGATTTCAAACATCGAACCTTATAAAAGTCGGAATCCAACCAATGTTGTCACTTCGGTCTTGACCTCCAAGTAATGCAAATAAAGTTTTAAAACCGCCAAAGTTCAAATAAAGTAAACATCTTTCAAACGACATTGTTATCCAAACTTGTAAGTTGGTATGTATTTATATCCAGTATTATTAACTCACTAGACACTGTTGTTGCCGAAATACTTGTTATAAACTTAGAAAACTTTAAAAGAATTGTAATTATTTTCCCCATCCTGACATGCGTTTACATAATTAAGTGCTTTTAGCAGTATTTTTATGGTGACCAGTGCTGACCAATTATATTTATTAATCATGACATTTTTTGTATTTGTCGAGAAAACTTATGCATAACTGTCCAATTAAATATAAGTGAATATTTTGTATTTTATACAGACTGTTCAAATCTACATTATTATCATAATCATTTTCCATTACATTATTTTACTTTGTACATATTTTTAATATGATCTATGAATATAATTCGTTTGTCTTTTTATATAAGTAATAAACAATTATTTTAATATTTTGCATCTTTCAAAATGTCTTTTTCATCTGAAATATTTCTACTATATTAAAGTTTCACACAATTTATGACATTTTCCGTGTATGTATAACTCTTTAAGTATTTCTCCTATCTTTAGGTACAAAATGTTACTTACTATTAATCTATGATTTTGTTTAAATGTTTTAGTACACAGAAAAGAAACAAACAAAAATAATAATAAGGAAAGAAAGAATAAGAAAATTTATTGACAAAAGTAAAATTATTTTCCCATATTCTTTACCGACAGCTTATTCGTAAGCAGTTTAGAATCGCCCAACGGTAGGCGATAGACGGCAATGCGATAACCAAATAGCGACAGAACGACAATGCGATGGCGACAGTGCGATAATGCGTTGACGACAGTGCGATACTGCGATGACGACAATACGATAGTGCGATGATGTCAAAGCGACAACGCGATGGTGATAGTGCGATAACACTATCGCCCTGTCGGCATCATACTATCGCGTTATCGCATTGTCGCCATCGCACTGTCGCATTGTCGTCATCGCACTATCGTATTGTCTATCTTACTGTCGCACTATCGCATTGTCGCCCTCTGTGTTTTAAAGTATAACCACGATGGCCCTTACGGTATTTCGTAGTCGGATGGTATAAACAAAATTACAGGGAATTACTACTGGTGCTATATAGATAAAGGAAAATAATGAAGGAAAAAGTCAATTACACTACATTCTGTAATACAATTATTTTACAACGAGCGTTACTAATTACAGGATGACAAAAATGACTCAAATATACCTAAAAATATTTTTTATGAAAATATTTTTTCCCATTGGTACAAGAACGGAAGCGGAGTACTTCAACTATATGTCAGATACACATTGCCTTCATCAATCCAATTTTAATTTCAAAAAATTAAAAAAAAGATGATATTTAAGGCAAATGAATCGTTTCCCAGCAAACAAAAGCAGCTCTCCTCCAGATTCATGTTAATTTTCATGAAAACTTTAGAAATGTTTTTGAAAGTAAAATATTGTGAAGTGAAAAAAATGATAATTTACATATTGCAAGAAAATTTCCAAAAAGTTGGTTATCCGCCCTTACTGTGCTATTAACGCAGTAGAAATATGGCGATAAAATACTGCAAAATCAGTCTTAAACCGCACATAACATGTAGAATATAACTTGAATCTTGAATGATTTTACCTTTCTTAAATTTAAGTACATTTTTTCAATATTGATTTTCTTGAAATATTTTGGCTCCTCTGGAGGCGTGCAGCTTTAAAGCCTTCTTTCAGGTCAATTAAATGGGGTTATCTTCTGTCCCAGTTTTTATTTTAAGTTCACCATTGATCCGAAACTTCAATTTAAAAGTATAAAAAATTACATCCGCTTGACATTAAACTCCATCATCGTAACGAAAGAATATTTCTTATACTTGTATATACCTGTCTTTAAAACTCTCAAATTGTTTATTCATTTCTATCTTAATCTAGTAATTTCATATTTTAATATTTAATTTAATAAATGTAAAGTTCGGACAAAAAGTGTTAGATTGTCTGATTATAATCCCCAAAATAAAAGTGTTTACTGTATACACTAATAGATTTATTTGAAAAGAATGTAGAACTACATGTACTTACCTAAATATGAACTTATTACCACAATAGTAAAATAATTTGAAATTTTCATATTTATCCACTTAACTTAAAATCCCAAAGAAATATTTGAATAAGGAAGTTTAAATTGTAAAGGTAAGTATCGTATTTTATATATAAAGAGTGCTCAATGTCCATACAAATGTTATGAAATTGCATTTAAAGGAGGGGTGTCACGTTTATCCTTTTAAACGGATACGGTCGGTTTTCAGCTTAAAACCGGTTAGAAAATTCAATAACCGGTAACTGAGGTTAGAATTTGACTATGAGAAGGAAAAGTTGTATATTTAATATTACTTTAGCTTTTTATGAGAAGATATGGCAATTGTTTGTATTTTAGTATAACTCAACAATGTACGACCCTAGCGGAAAATAGTTACTCCATATTCGGATTTGTATTGTTATCATTTTGAGTACAACAAAATATAAACAAAATATATCTTTTCATAAAGAAACAAAGTTAATGTTGAAAATCTTAATATTTTATAAGTACGGTCGATTAGACGTTAACATGGCTATTACGTCGCCATTTTAACTGTTTTCATTCTTTTCTAAACGAGACACCCCTAAATTAAAAGCTTCGCTTTACAATGCCAGTTTTTACAGATATTTAACGTGTAAACAAGACTTAACCGCTTATTAAAATACGTAGCATTTTATATCCTACAATTTATTGTCAGTAGTATACATTTATATTTTTGCACCTTGAAAGCGTAATAATTATCATTGTACCATTAAAGTATTTTTAAGAGGATATTTTTTCGTTTGCGTGAAATATGGAATATATTTTCACGAAACATGATAAAATGCCACTTATTTTCACGAGCCGGTACGGCGAGTGAAAATATGAGGCATTTTATCATGTTGAGTGAAAATATATACCATATTTCACGAAAAACGAAAAAATAACCTTTTATTTAATTTCATTATCAAAAGAAAAATGGTAACGAGTCCCCTTGCTTGCTACCAAATGCAATTGTACAGCGCGCAGTAATTTATGCGTAAGCACGCGCTGTTTGGTGCTACTTGTGACGTCATGTAAACAACTCTTTAACGTCTGTACAGCGTTAATTACTGAATTAAAGATATTTGTGTTCGGATAAATTTTCTTAGTTAGACCATTTTCTATCATGCTAGATAGTTTTCAAAACAATATTCAAGAAAAAGTTGTTTTGTATTCATCAGATTTTTCAAACAAAACGGCGAAAGAAGTCCCTTAAAATAAATATGAGTTTTGACTCCGCCCACTTTCATATTTATATTTCATATTTATTTTTAAAAAATATGAAATATATTTGACTGATATAGCACCATATTTCATGGGTAAAATTTAATAAAAAGTGATATTATACTCATTTTTTATTGTCAAGCTGAGCTGCATTTACTATTATTTCCAAAGATTGACTTATTATAACGTTGACTGACCAACAGTTGACATTTGATAGTTTGAAAGTATAAACCTGCCTCAAATATAAAAACACTGCCCCACTATTTTTTTATAAATTGAATGTTAAAGGTAAATTCTGATGGATATTTTTAGAAACTTCTTTGGGTTAGACGAGTTATTTATAAAAAATACAAATGAAAGGAATAATGACAAAATATAAACTTAGTTTGTCTGTCACCTGTCTATCTTTGATGGTCACTCTACTGCTCAGTTTAATAAACAGTAGTATTTACTCGACTCCGTTTAAAAACAAGGCTGAAAATATATTATTGATCAGTTTATGCCTTGATTTTGAGACAACACAAATAATACCTACCAATAACGCAAACGTTTAATCATGATATTATGTGCTTTGTATATAGATCAAATATTTAATCATGGTCTCCGAATAAGAAACACAAAAACTGTTAAGCGTTATACGTTTCAGGTTATCTATTTTTCCACCTAAGTACACTTGTTAATGAGTAAAGTAACTTCTCCACCAGGTGTTTCACTAAATAAATATAATGTTCTATGTCAATTTGATCCATCGTAAGATTTTAATGAACGATGTTAAGGAAAGAAAATATAAGTTTGATATGTTAATAATCAACATGCTTTCTTACATGTTTTTCTTACAAAATAACAAAACCGTTTCCAATTGTTTTTGTTTTTTATTACATCTAATGAATAAATATAATATTATTTTATTATATTGAACACTAATGTCCACCTTTCCCAGGATATGTGATGAATTATCAGTCTAAATTTCCATTTTTCTTGTTCCATGATTAAGTTCAAACATATACATATTCAAACAATCATCACACACTCATGAATATTTTGACCGATTATGAACAACAGATATCAGCCAAAAAGATCCTACAGTTGTCGTGTTTTTAGATAATTAATTAGATCAGCGTAATTGATTTTTAATCGATATATTTTGAGATACTTAAAAAACGCGGCTTCAAACTTTTAGTCAATCACCATCATCAATCAATTCTATTTCATTTCTAAAACTACAGAAATATCTAAAATTGGGGGCGTGAGGGATGTTGCACATTTTAATTATCTCTCATGTACAGACGCAATCAAACGAGTCATAGGTTTTACTAATGAACTGAACATAATGAATTCAATAAAAATTGAATCTATTCTTATATCTTAATAATCATAATTTACACATAATAAGCGTGACTGAAGTTGTTGTTTGTATTTACGCATGATTAATTAAAAATGTATATTTATTCGCTTTCGATATGTTGATATGATAGATATTACACTATCTGTGGCTACATATAGGTTGATACAGCTATAACTAAAAGTGCCACCAATTAGAAATTTGTTAGAACTTTGTTTGAGTGCTTATCAATGTAAGACATTATGGAGTACACTTCAAACGTTACAAGAGTGTCTTAAGCATCAATATTCATGTATTCGTGATAAACATCCGCATTCGTAGAGGTATAGGGCGTTAAGTACGTTTCATCATTACTGTCTGGAACACTTTGGTTCTTGACAGTTCTGTGCAGCGTTGAATAAGTATTAGAGTGCAGTTGTGTCGTATCTAGTTCAGTATACTCTAGAACTTGTTGGCTTGTATCGGCATCACGTTCTTGTTTAGTGGCCAGTCTTCTTCGTCTGAAGCGATAGAAATATTTTTGATTATGTATCATTAACCAAAGATTGTGTTTATGCATATGTAATGATAACAACGCAAAACAGAATCCCTAAAGAGCCCCAAAACGCAAAATTGAAAATTTAATTTGCTCGGTTTGATTGAGCCTGTACTTGAAAGTTAAAGTACACGTCCCATAGCACGGGCTTAAGCAGAATTCAAACTTCAATCACAGTATAGTGAAATTCTGAATTTAGACACATCTGCAGATGTGTTCATCTGACTAAGGACTGCGGGTCGTGTGATTTCAATCTTGCCCGAGGAACCATTGGTTATAATAACTTGACACCCATTGCTGGTTGATTTCAGGAACGATCCAATAATGTTTCTATGAGCTCATAATTTTTTACACCATTGAAACAAAATATGTATTATTCGTTATACATGTATTTATTAAATAATAAAATCTGCTATTGTTACAGAGGCATTTTAATGGCCCATTATTATCATAATTAATTCTGCTATAAGCGTGTGTTCGTACATGTAGAGAAGACAAAAGCCAAAAAGTGTGTTTGATATCAGAATACATATGGATATTTACTCAAAGATACCATCTTGATCGCGCATATACAGCTTTTAATCTTTATTTCAATATGCGTCCCAAAATGTGAATAAATTTCTCAAAGATAATCCAATTAGGTTATTTATATTTCTCCCTGTAACGTCCTAAGAAAATGGTTATCATTGCTTTGTCACTATTCCTACCATTTATTTTTAGAAGAAGAAATAACAAACTCACCGCCATATGATACAAAATGCAAGAACAGCAAAGAAAATGCCTACAATGCAGACTACGGCAGCACCTACAATGTACCATACGTAGATAGGAGCTTGATTGTCGGCATCTAGAACTGTGCTTTCAATGACTAAGTATAGAAAAAGGTTTTAAAATGAACTGCAAAATATCATGACAAGCACATTGTATTCATAACAAATCATGCAGTGGTTATCAATGCTAGGATAGTAAAACGAGACATATAACAATGTTTATCTATAAAAAGAAGTTACACTTAGTTCTTGATCAATTGCAATTTAACATAAAATTTGTGAAATGCAAAAGTATGTTTAAAAAGATGGTATAACTTTTTAGTACAATATAATTGACATTATACACAAACATTATGCTGCAAAATAGCTAAACACTTCCTCTAGTAAACAATTGTCATACCATTTTGATCTCCCTTAACCCTTTTGAAACTATTGGATGAGGATAACTACGAAATTGGATATAGTTAATTTAAAATTGAAAGTTTAAAAAATATTAATTAGTACCCATGGTCGAAGAAGCTGTTATTATACTTGAACTTATTACAGCCTGTCTTGAAGGGGATGTAGATGGGGTTTCAGCAGATGGTTTTGTTTGAAAATCGGAGCTGAATGTATTCATTTTTGTTTTTGACATCGCTGTATATGTCGTCAAATACGGTGTTTCTACAACATAGGACAATAATTTGTTAAGTCAAAATGTAACAAACCAATACGTCCATAGTGATTAATGCATATTATGAATAACATAACATTTCAAAATCGAATGTTTCTCTTTAATTATTGCCCACGCTTAAATTAAAACTTGGGTTTCAATATTGAAAAACCTGGTTATAACAATGGTGTAAGGCAGACGGGCGCCGGACGAGCGTCAAACAAGATGCTTTCCGGTATAATTTAAGTTCAGATTTACTTATCTAATTCAAAAGCTTATGTAAAGACCTTGCTTGTGATTGCTTTTGGGCATCCTAGGGTCAAGGTCACTGTTACTAAAAATAAAAAAATAAAAAATAAAATTAGCCTGTTCATGGACGATATTGTCAAGTGCAAACTACCGTTGCACTTATTCATTATCCCTCATGTACAGACTCAATCAAACCGAGTCTGCAATTTCCATGTAATTCTGTTGTGATAAATGCTTCCGAGGCATAACTTTGTTTCCAGATTTGTATGTAGTACACAGCACACAGTTCTTTTTGCGCTATGATCGAGTGATTATGCTCGTTGACTTCTAATCCGATGCCTT